TCTCTCTCTCTCTCTCTCTCTCTCTCTCTCTCTCTCTCTCTCTCTCTCTCTCTCTCTCCTCCCCCTTTTTCCTCTCTCACACACATACATTAATCTCCGTAACGTCGAAATTGTACATTTTCGCAACGAAAAAAGACGAGAAAGAATTTATAAACTTCTCTTTTACTCCGAATACGAAATGGATATTCAGATTGAAAGTTGCACATAATTAGACTACGGGTGCAATTGCAGCTGCAACAAATTATACGTATAAAATATAAACTGCAAGGACTACAAAAAGCAAAATAGTCACTTTTATACGAAAATATTCGTTTCATTTTTCTTTCTCCTCGTTTTCTCCCTTTTTGTGTCATTAGCGGACTTTCTTAAGAGTAACATGTAACATGTAACGACTGCAGAATAACTCGCTGTAATTCACGTCGTTATAACATCTAATGATTTTTCTTCCATTTTTCTTTCATACAATACCGTGCGCTTGGGAAATGCATCATGAAAACGACCGCGATGCATTTGCGACCCGAGCCGCAGTGCCGCTGGTGCATTTGATAATTCGATTTTCTTCGTCGGAAATGAAATTCCCGGTTCTCTCTGGATATACCAGCTGTCTCCTGAAAAGGTGTCTAGCGACAACTTTAAAATAGCACCATGGTAAAAAATTTCAAAATACTTTTTCAATTTTTACTTCTGTTTTTACTCAAGGACAATCATACTATCAACATTTTAACATTATCTCTTTCATCGTGTTCTACACAGAATATGTACGCAGAGTGTGTGTGTGTATACAGACGAATTAATAACATTTATGAATTATCATTGACACCAAACGTGCGATCCTTCGAGTAGCAAGCACTTTTGCTAAATGTACTATCTCGTGTCAGTGATTGTGGCATGATGGCTTGTTCGATGGAATAACTCGTCTGTAAAGAAGAGATATTGGACAAATATCAAACACGTATAATCGGGCAAAACTAAATAAACGTTACGCCTCTGCACAACTGACCATTTTCTTTTGTTTCCTCTTTTTCTAGCGTAACGTGCAATCGCGTTAGGATGAGAACGAGGAAATTGAAGCGGAAAAATTCACTTCATATCAGTAGCTAAACGGAAGCACGGAATAACGATCTCTTGCGAATATTTCACGATCCCAACGAGATGCCGACTGTCCAAGAGTTGACGATCGTTACGTCCAACGATACCAACACAACATACGATTACGATTACGATTACGACATCAACGAATCCTTCAGTTATTTCAATTGGGCGGAATTGGCACCCGTACTCATCGTTTACGGCCTAACCTTTGTCCTCGGATTAGTCGGTAAGTTCTCGGAGTAGTCGTGATGAACGACTAGCTTGCTTCCCGCGCAAAAGTCACGATATGATGCCTCTGAGCTCTATGTGGTCAATCGCGTGATGCGATCGATATCTCTATCTCAAGTAGTTCGGAGGAAAAACCTCGAATTCGGTAGCTCGCGACGAGCAATCTTGCGAAAGAATCGTAATTTTTTTCAGGGAACGTCGTTATGATCGCTTCTACCCTATGTCCACGACTCAGACCGTTACCAGCGACACCGACGAATGTCTTCTTGGGCGGTCTGGCTACCGCTGATCTCCTGTTGATTATATTCTGCATACCCGTGAAGGTAACAGATATTATTTCTATTGTGTATTAACAATTGTCTATGATCGAAATTCACACAGCCATATTCGCTCGTTGTCGTTCAAATTCAATTACATTAGGCAACCTAGTCTAGCTCTATCAATGACCGGTTTAGCGTGTGAATTGTCTCGTGACTAACTACTTCGACTTTATTCTTGTGCCAGCAAGTCAAAGATGACAATAATAATTAGCATATTGCGGTTAGTAGGATGGTAGGAGGTACATTTGATCTCGTTTTGAGTTGTACTTTCGGTATGGACACGCATCATGCTATTTTCAGAGCTTTGTGTATATTTCTAATTATCACAGATTTAAGAAATTGCGGTAAAACGTTGTGCACGCGCGCACGTGCGCGCGCGTGTGTGTATATGTGTGCGTGTGCGTGTGTGTGTGTATGTGTATACAATGATTGTACGAAAGTGCGCGAGTACGAGTTCAAAGTTACTTGTTTAAAATTACTTCATATACCATAATACTCTGTACAGAAGAGAATGCGTATGACATGGTTTCATCCTCGCCAACTTTTTATTACGTGTTGTCACGCTTAAACTAATTTTAACTGACACGGTACTTTGTAGTCAATAGCATTTCGCACTTGCAACGAACGGACAAGCGTACCCGTTAAAAGACAACGTAATTAAATTAAGGTTCGCGTCCCGGTGGTGTTGATAAAATTAATCAAACAGTAGCGGCGCAAGCCAGCGGTTATTATGTCTTCCTGCGCGCGCGTCAGTAACAACAAATTGTTCAGTCTCGCAGTGCCTTGCGTTAACATGGCGAAAATATGTCGACACATGTTGGACTGGATCATCTGGTTTGTCTCGACCACAGACGATGCGATGAAATAACAACTGCGGGTTCATTAGCACTAGTTAAAGAAAATAGGACGCATCATCGATACGTGCATGTTCACTGCGTATCTTCCATCGGCATCAATTACGATCGTGCATTTCTCCTCAGATAATTACACTTTGAGAATTCACACACGGATAAGCGCCGTGTCACTTTGTCCCGAATGAAAATAACATCGAATCGCGCTTGCTTCTAAAATTACAGTGACCACTTGAGAAGCAGCATGGTTGGCGCTCACGCTATGCTCTCGACGTGCTGCCTCTATTTGTTTATCTTTCTTCCTGCTCTCGACATTTTCCAATTTACTCTTTATAAGCTTTCCGTCTTTGATGCTCGTCGTGCGCCAATTACTCGATCTCACGTACTAAGTTCAATGAAACTGATCAAATAAGCTGTAGTTTCATATTCGTATTCCGTCGATGCCGTAATCGTCTCCAATAATGTAATCTGTGCACGTATCTATACGACACAAGTGTAACAGAAGTCACTGATTTTATTTTATTGTACAGTTTTTCTTTCACGTGCAATTAATGACTTTTTGAAAATGAATAAAGAAAGAAACAGAGAGAGAGAGAGAGAGAGAGAGAGAGAGAGAGAGAGAGAGAGAGAAGAGAAACCCTGTTGTTTCCCTGAAAGCGCGGGAAAACAAATATATCGGGCTCCATCGTTTTAACTGTTAGTCATCTGTCACTCGCGAAAAACGAAAACGAAACGAACAGCCTCAGGGGCTTACCGCAAAACTGAGAAACTTGTGTTGCTTTGTTCGCGACAACAATTTGAACCTTTAGTCTGACTACTCTGACAATCCGAGTTAATTAATATTGGATTCGCTGTCTTTTTTGTAGTTCCGCATACACACGACATAAGCAGAGAATTGAGTTAGCAAAAGTTGACGCTAAACAACGCGTTGGCGTATACGTAATCGAGAATTTATAATCTCGAGTGTTCAAAAACAAAAGTATAATACCAAATATTTCATTAACTCATACGATATTTGTCGCTGCTGAAAATTCCAATAAAAAAGGATTAGGTAAAAGTTACTTCGGTAACCATTCGAGTTATAATACGATTAGTCAGTTCGTGCTTGAGCGATAGTACATCATAGACAAAAGATATCTTAAGCTTGTTGTTCCATCCGTTCACACTTGGCGTCTCGTAGATATTAAGCATGTTTTCTTTCGTAGATATTAAGCATGTTTTCTTTCTATCTGCGTCTTACAAAGCCCCGCGAGCATAATATAAATTCTCTCAGATAGCTAAATTTTATTGCATTTTCTTGCGTTCGCGTCTTCAGCTGAGTAGTCGAACGATGACGACAAAAATCTGATGAAAGTTTGCTCGTAAAAGGTAATCGAGTCACGACTAGATTGCCAGGTGATGTACTCGCTCGCTACTACATACGAGAAAGAAAAATTTAACTTTTCCACTTGTTTTACGTAGAGCTCTCTCGATAAAAAGATATGACCACGACATAGACGAGTCGCAACGTAACGAGGACCGACGTTCATCATAGAATTGTTCACCATAGAAATTTTGCCTTAGTCCCACTTCTTCGCTCGCATCTTCTTCTTCTTTGCAAGCATCGAAAATAGTCGAAAATAGTCGAAAATAGTTTTCGTAAACAACTCTCGGTTTCATTTTTGTCTTTTGTGAAAGCAACTCTCGCTTACTAAAAGTCAATTGTAAGAATAATGAATATTAAGGAGCCACTTTCTTTTAACATATGCAACACGACATTTCATCTAAATGTATGGTCATCTTAAGAAGATACCGAATTAGCTTACGGCCAACATCACGTCTACTTAAATTCTTCGTGAGATTTGATATTGTCGAGTATCTCTGCCAACGGAACACGATTCTTAACATTTCATTTGATTGGATGATTGCTCACACTTAACCTCGATACCTTCGGTAGAGTATACGCGGTGCTCCACAAGTCACCTACCGCAAACTTGACTGCAAACAAGACAAGTTCTTTGACGAGTTTAAATTTCATTTTTTATTAATCCTCCAGAAATTATTCTGTGATTATTTGCATAATTATTTATATATCTCTTTGCGGCATTCTTTTGTTTTGCTGATTGAAACTATATCGAAGTTGATTGAATAAGGCAGATTACTGATGTTAAAGTTACACATTGTGTTGACGTTGAATTTAGTGAAAAACTGCACCAGCATATTTCTTGCTTCTTCTCTACGCGAGTAAAGAGTGTAGGAAGAAAACATTAGATTAGATGGCGTCTCTATCGGCTATCGTCAATGCGATCGTAAATTGCCGAATTGATTTTGACTTTAATAGAATTAGCGCTCCGGTTCGCCATGTCGCACCTGTGCACTCGAGCAGAGTACGAAAATCGAGAGATGCTCTGGAAAATCGATACCATACGCGTAGGATAAAGAGTAGCGCGAGATTACAAAATTTCGGCGTACATTGCACTCATTAATGTCTACAGACTATAGTCGACGCTTCGGTAAAATCGACTAGAACGGATCGAATATCGTTGTCAATATCGATACTGATGTTAGTTACGTCAGCGTAATCAATAATGTATGTTATATTACCGAGACGATCGACAACGGTAAATCCGTCGACTTTGATTATCGTTTCATTAAGTTTATTTCAGCGATATATACATACACATTTTCTATATTTATTTAGCAAACAAAATCCCTCGAAAAGGGAAAAATGTCTCGACACACACACATACACACACACACACACACACACACACACACACACACACACACACACATATCATGCTAATATCGTGCTGATAAATAATCGGCGTTATTTTAGTACACCGCCACGTTAGTAACGACAATTATCGATTGAACGTTTCATCGGAGTATCGAGTTTAAATAAAATATTTGTATCACACAAAGATGGAAAAAATTGTGACATTACAACCGAATTCAAATATATAACTAAATTAAATTAATTTCATTTATATAATAAAACGCGTCGGCAATTATAAATGATACATTTTCGTGATATATACACACACACGCACACACACATAGGAAACGTTCTAACACGCTCAAATAGATTTCATGTTTAACGATTCGATTACTCTCGAGTAGAATGCAAGCTGTGTTATATCCAGTCATAATATATATCGCTAACGGGAACAGGCTAGTTGCGCGATCCAAAAATAATTCTGAATCTAATATCAGTGAATTACTTCTTCAACGTCGATCGATGCCGTGCACAATATATCCTCAAAGCCGAGACTCGCGCAATCATCCCATTAAAAGCGAGTTTTATCGATGCGATTCTCGTGCCACGTGTTCTCTCCATTAATTGAATAATCCGGTTATGATTGATGAATGATTTTCGTGCCAATTCAAAAGCATCAGTTGCCATAGCGTTTGTTCCGCTGAAACAGAAAAATACTTGAAAAGCGTCATCTGCCGAGAGGTTTTGTTGATTGTCTGTGATGGTTTTGTTGATTGTATGGGATATTTTCCATAGCATATTCTTTATAAGCGCGCGCGTGATGGAAATTATGTTATCACTTATTTTACAGAATGAACAAAGGTCGCTGTTTAGTCTCCCATGCAGGCACGATTTAACGTGACTTGCAAAAATGTTTCGTGCGATTCACTTTGAAAAACGTGATAACGAGATCCTTTTGATATCTTTTAATATATCTTAGGCTATTTCGCAATTTCTTGTTTACGATACAAAATAAACGGCATGAACGAAACGCATCACTTCTGACTCGCGTTCATACGTCTATTTCGCGTGTGTGACAAACGGGTATCGCGTTGCGCCGTACCAGTCGATATAATACGAGCAGCTGTGATGCGGTGTGTTTGCAACGCCAATTAATCGGCAGTACTTTGCCCTTTGCTAACGTGCAAATGAACGTACGCAACAGCCACTCGAATTTGCTTCCTACGCTACTGAATAGGTACATGTACCTGTTGCACGTCTGTGCAACGCCGTTTCTTAAGATGTACGCTGAGCGCTTTTATCCGAGCGCTTGTAGCCGATTCTAATCTAGACTACGTTTATTACTTGATGTCCTTGTCGTCGAGACAAGAAGAAAGACTCGCTCTTGGGAGTCACACAATACAGCTCTGAGTAAAAGTTTCGCGTTGTCAATTACCAGAGGGAAAATGCTACGT